TCCCTTGGTCTTCTTTGTACATGCCCAAACCATCTCAACCGATTTTCTACCATTTTTCCTCAATAGGTGCCACCCTCACTTTTTCCGTATGTGCTCATTTCGAATTTTATCTTTACGTGTATGTCCGCAACATCCATCGTAACATCTCACATCTCTGCTACTCCAACTTTATGCTCTTGCTGTCCCGTTAGAGCCCAGCATTCACTACTATATAACATTGCCGGTCTGATAGCAGTAAATAAACTTTCCTTTAAGTTTGTATTAGGCACCTTACGGTCCCAAATAACTCCTTTAGCTTTTCTCCAATTAAAACCCACCGCTTGAGTCTATGCGAAATATCTCCACTGATTTCGCCATCATTTTGAATAATGGCTCCCAATATCTAAACTTTTCCACTTGAGGTATGATTTGATCTCCCAATTTCACTTCCAAATTATTTTCGAATAGTCTTTTACCAAATTTACAATATAAATATTCCGTCTTACTTCTACTCAGACGAAAACCTTTCGACTCCAATGTCCTCCTCCATAACTCAAGTTTGCAATTAACCTCTTCTCTTGTCTCTCTGCTATAAGAAAAATATATCATCCGCGAAGAGCATACATTTCGGGATTTCCTCTTGAATATGTTCCGTCAAAACATTTAAAATCAAGTTGAACAAATAAGGACTCAGAGATGATCCCTGATGTAGTCCAATCTTGATAGGAAAATCCTTTGTTTGACCACAAGGCGTTCTTATACTAGTTTTTACCCCCTCATACATATCTTGTATGGCTTTAATATAAGCAATCCGTACTCCCTTTTTTTCCAACGCTTTCCAAAGCACTTCTCTTGGTATACGGTCATAAGCTTTTTCCAAATCATAAAAACCATGTGTAGATCTTTATCTTTACAACGATACTTTTTCATTAATCCCCTTAGTAGATAAATTGCCTCTGTAGTTGATCTACCTGGCATAAAACCAAATTGATTCTCAGAAATACTTGTCTCCAATCTTAACCTGTGCTCAATTACTTTCTCCCACAATTTCATTGTGTGGCTCATGAGTTTAATCCCTCTATAGTTAGTACAATTCTGAATATCTCCTTTATTTTTATAAATAGGAATTAATGTACTTCTCCTCCACTCATCAGGTAGATGAGACCACAGAGAAAATCAAATTGATCCAACAAAAACTTCTTACAGCACAGAGTAGACAGAAAAGTTATGCAGATAATCGTCGTAAGGACTTGTCTTTTGAGGTTAGGGATCATGTCTTTCTCAAAGTTTCCCCATTGACGGGCGTTGGACGCTCAATTCGGGCTAAAAAGTTATCTCCTCGATATATGGGTCCTTTTGAGGTTTTGAAGAAAGTTGGGCCGGTGGCTTATCAGTTGGCATTACCGCCTCAGTTAGCGGGTCTACACAACGTGTTTCATGTGTCACAATTGAAGAAGTACCAGCCAGACCCGTCGCATGTGATAAAACCTGAGGAGGTTGAAATTCAAGAGAATTTAACCTACCGGACTGAACCAGATCGTATTGTGGATGCTAAGGATAAGCAACTTAGAAATAAGACAATCCGGTTGGTAAAAGTGATTTGGAAAGGGACAGCTCCGGGAGATGCAACCTGGGAGACTGAGGATCAAATGAGGAAGGAATATCCACAGTTGTTTCCCTAGGTATGTTATCTCTTTGGTTCATGTATTAGCTTGGATTTTGGGGACAAAATCCTTTTTAAAAGGAGGGGAGAATGTAACATCCTAAAAATTTTAAGACTCAAATTTATTTAAAAAAATAAATAAAAATAAAATAAAATATCTATAATTAAATTAAAATTTAGAATAATTTGATAGAGGTCCAGAGTTTGAATTTTTACTAAGCAAAAGTTTAGTTTTATTTGATTTTTAACTATGGGAAAAATTACCAAAGTTGACCCGGGCTTTTGTGCAATAATAAAAAATGTTGGGCCATTTCTTGTAATTTTCCCCAAACTTTAAATCAGCTTTTATAAGATGAAAAACCAGACCAGAACGCAGAAAAGAAAACAAGGAAAGAAAGGAAACACGTGAGAGAGAGAGAGAGAGAGGAAGAAGAGAAGAGAAAGGGAGGGAGTTAGGCTTGGATCTAGGAGTCTTTGCGACCGTTGCGAGCTCGGCTACACGATAGGTAAACTCCCTACTTCAATCCTCTTCTCTTTCTCTTGATTTTCTTCAATTTTTGGAAGAGGAAATTTTGAATTTTGATCCCAAAGGCTTTATTCTTGTAAGCTTTTATTTCTTTGGATTCTAGGGAGCATGTTTTGAGTTTCTATATAGTGATCTAATGTTTTGAGTGAATAATTGGATGAAAAGAGGTGTTTTGGGCACAAAATAAACCTTGAGAAATTGGGTTTTTGCTCCTCAATGGTTTAAGCCTATTGATTTAGTTATAATTTTACTATTTGAGCCCAATAAGATTTAAATTAAGGTTTGGTTTTCATTATAAGGGCTAATGGTGAAAGTTGGTGGCACTAAGTAAAGGTTTTTAATTGATTAAAAAAATTATATAAATTGAAAATTAGCCTAGTAATGGCTAATAAATGGTTTTGGTGGTTAAGTGATACTATGTGAATGGTTGGTTTAATATATGGACCATTAGGGTGGATTATGACTCATTGACCTAAGTTGTGTGGTATAAGTTATAGTCTTCATTAATACTATTTGTCATAATAAGTGATGTGGATCACTTATATGTTGTAGAAAAATTGTTGGTGGAACTTATTGAGAAGTAAGGAACAAGCCGAGCCCTATTTTGTACAAGGGGAACCCTTTTAGTACCAAAGGGTTGAGGTAACAGGGGAATTTATATTTCTTATTACTTTGTTTTAGCTATTTTTGAATAAATATTACTAGTTATCATGCATTACATGTTTTAAAAGATTAAATGTGCTTTATAAGGGGTTATGGGGTACTACTTTGATTATAGTGCAAATATGTTTTCTAATTGTTTAATAACAATGTTTTTATGGAAATGAGATTTATAAATATTATAACTACTTTAGAGTGTTGAATGGTCAATACTCAGGAAAGGTAGACAAGAGTAAAAGGCATGATCTCGGTGGGAGTTCACCAATGAGAAGGTGTGGATTTTTGATATTCTATGGCACACTGTCAGTACTCAGTGTTGTCTTACGTATTGTGGGCTCAGTGCACTAAAGTGGTTAGTGTATTGAGTGTTCGACACCTCTCAGTGGGGGAGGGAATCCGACATATGAAGTGTGAGGTTAAGTGCCTAGGCCAAGGTAGCCCTCACATGGAGAGTAAGTCGGGCTGGCTCTGGGAGGGAGTTAGCTTTGACTGCTCAGGATTCACGTCGAAGGGGCATAGGCGGTTCGGTGGATTAGATCATGCCTTAGATTATGTTTTGTGCCTGTGGAGGTACAAGTAGGTATAAGGTTTACCTGCGAGTTAAAGAGTGCTAGGGGGCATTCTGTTGGTCATGAAAGGCCATACCGGCCTAGGTCATGCATTCATGCATTTTAAATGGCTAAATTATATACTATATTGAATTTATTATTCATTTATTTGATTATGGCTTACTTTGTAATAATCAATATAGATTTCACTGTTACTGAGACTGTGGTTGTCTCACCCCTTTCTTTTCAATATTCTAGGTCCAGGCGAAGGATCCAGTGGTGGACGGGAAAAAGAGCAAAGCTAGGGGTTTGCTTGTGATTTGTAAAGAACTGCAACCCCTTTCTTTTGAGCAAATATATTGTAATGTATTTAAGATTAGGGTGCCAGTAGGATATGATTATGTGTGTGTGTGTGAATATGTGTGGATTGTGTGCTTGTGTATGAATTTTTGTCTGTTTGCAGACTTGTGGCTAGGAAACTTGGTTATGGTGTGTGGTTTTGATGGATTTACTTAGTAGACCAAGTTTCTATTACAAGCAGATCTTTATTTTGATATATATGTGATTTTATAAGCAAATGCAAAGTGGTTGCATTGCAAATGGTGTGCTATGGGAAAACATACAGCTTGGATAGAGAGAGTGGGTGCGTGGGCCCCACAAGGAGCTCTGAGCCAAGTGAAAATGTTTAGCATATGTATTTATATAAATACATGGTATTTGGATTGATTTGTGACCACTCTTGTATGATTTGTGCATTTTGGGGGTTTAGGGTCTATTTTAGGAAATGGCACCCGGGTGGTCAAATTTTGATGTATGGGGGTTTTCCATCATTTGAATGTTCTATCAAGTGTTTTTAATCTTATTTGACGTGTCCAAAGTGTTTCCACAGGTTTGTGACCATTAGGATGGGATTTGGACAATTTTGAAAATGGTTTTTACCAAAAAGCTGCACTTTTGCATCCGGGTGTCCAAATCTTAATCCGACCGTTGGATTTCTCTAAAATTTGGGTCACAAGTAAAACCTTTTATAAGCTTCGTGTGGGCTTTGGAATCACGTCGATCGGATATCGGACGGAGAAACGACGCACTCCGGAATTTGGTCTGGAGGTGCTGTCATGACAGCATTAAATTGCTGTCATGACAGCTACAGTGTTGATTTTGTAACCTGTACAAAATTCAATCCGTCCGTTGGATCTTTTCAAAATTTAGTATGCTAATAGTATTCTTTAAAAGTGATATTTGGGCTTTGGAATCACTCCGATCGGAGGTCAGAT